TGCTTTTAAGTAATTCTTTAGGAAAGGAAAATTTCCTTCTAAAATGCCTGATATATCCAGCTTTCTTCTTGCTACCTTAAATCTTTTTTATTCATATACCCTGAATTTGTTTACTAGTTATTTGAAATGCCTTCCTTTTGCACTCTGTATGAATCATACTCTGTAGGTATTATTCCGTATTCTAAATGTGAACATGTAAACTGCTAACCCAAAAACACTCTTTCTGTTTCTAAACAATTTATCCAGAAGTTCATTTGAGCACTTAAAACTCAGTAATCAATTGCAAGGTATTAACAGTAAATTTGCTGAGGCTAAGGTTAACAACCATTGCAATTTGGGTGTTTTATCACCAAGAGAGACAAGTACAGATATCTGTTTAAAGTGATAATAAACATATTAAATGCTTTTGGTTATACGTGACCCTTTTAAAAAAATTGTTGAGTAGTATATACAGTGCTTCTGGTTAAAAAATTGTTTTTTTAAGGGTGACTCCCACTTGAAAATAGAATACCACTGTGCTAAATAGGAGATAGATGTATAGATGTGGGCACACACACATTTTTCGATGATCTTTACAAGTATTCTTGTCTGTTATTGGAATTTGAGAGAACTGACAGGAAAAATATTCAGGATATTTTTGATATATGCAAATGGCTGTTGAATCAAAATCTGAAGTCAGCTTCTAATTGATCGTCAGGGTTAAACATTAGAATAAAAGCTGTGTCCCAGATTAGATAACTTTTTAAAAATCAAGTATGGTCCTCATTTGTAATTCATGGAAAGTTTATGTATCAGAAAAGGTTTGCAACCTTTAGATTAGTCATCAGCATTATAAATAGTTATTTAAATAATTACTTTCCCTGCAAAAATGACAGTTTTGCAGATAAATAAAAAAAAAGTATATTTAATTTTCTTTCTTCCTTCATAGAGAAGTAATACCTAGATAAAATTAGTTCCAAACTAAGAATTTTTTGTATATGAAAACTCCATTAATTATTTAAAAATATTCTCTACATAATCTATTTTGTCAATTTTTTTTTATAGGTGCCGTATTGTTGATTTTCACAAGTCGACTGGTCCTTCGGGTACACACCCTCGCTTGTTTGAGTGGATAATGAACTATTATTCTTCAGAGAGAGAAGGAAGTCCAAAGGTAGTGTGTACATCTAAACCTCCTATCTATCTTCAGCATCAAGGTTAGTATAAATCATAGATAACAATTTTATTTATAAAACAACAAACTATTACTTTAGGACAGGTTAAGATTCTGATAATGGGGAGGTGTTGTGACATTTGTCTGATTTTCAGACCTACTTTGTTAGTACAATACATTCTTGAGTAATGAAGGATGGTAATTCCTGGCATCTTCTGTGCCTTTGGACTTGCTGTTTTTTTTGGTTTACCCTTACTTCTTTGTTCTTCCCTTACCTTCTTAGATCTTTACCCAGATGTCACTGAAGTGAGGCCTGCTCTGACCTCACCTTATTTCAAAGTGCAACTCATTATCCCAGCCTCCCACCACTGGCATTTACTTCACTTATTTACCTTGTTTATAGAGTATCTCTTCCTATTAGAATATAAGCTCCATGAAAACAGGTGTGTTTATTTTGATTTTTACTGTGTACTTTACTGCCTGGAATAGTACCTGGCACATGGATACTTGGTATATTTTGTTGAATTGATGATTCGAATTGACAGGAATAAAGAGAAGTAAATGTTAGGAATTTTATTATTTAGGAAACTATAAGAGATTAAGCTCTCCCCATTGATATTCTAGTATATATAATTTTACTTTTGTTTACCTTTTGGAACCATGAGAGTTTTTGTTCCAGAATAGGTAAATAGGTAAATTTCAAATCCTTTCATTTGAGATAATTTGAATAAGAGGAAGCAAGGGATTGGTAAAGGAAAAGTGTGGCAGAGTAGATAGAAGCAAAATTTTTTGTAATGAAGACTTTAGAAAACTAAAATGGAACAAAAGGAAACTGAAGTAGAATTGAACCCTTGTGTCTTAGGAGAGCTCAAGTATATATATATACATGTCAGAGAGACTGGCTATATGTGTATTTATGTTCTAAACACACATGCTCACACACTATATGTAGAGACTGTATAGCTATAGATAATACGACATAGCTGGGTTTTTTTAATCTTTTGATAGGTCATAGTCGAACAGTTGTTGGAATTGAAGAGAGAAAAAACCGAACATTATGGTTACTAATATTTGACCCTGGATGTCCTTCTCGAGAAATGCAGAAACTATTAAAGCAAGACATAGAAGCCAGCAGTCTCAAGCAACTTCGGAGATCTATGGGAAATCTAAAACATAAGCAATACCAGATAGTGGCAATAGATGGTGCACTTTCTCAAGAGGAGAAAATTGTAAGTATCCAAATATTTATTATGTGATGCTTGAGTGGGTTGAACTTAAAGTTTAGAATTTTTAGTTAAAATCAGTGCTATCCCTTTGTATCCTCTAGCACCTCATTCTGTTTCATTAAGTTGGTAAAGACATTTTATGGTTTTTGATTTCTGGAATGGGCATCCTTAAATTTGAAATGGTACCTAATGACTATCAATTACTTAGAGCTTCAAAAAAATATTCAATTTTATAATATTTAATTTAATGTTTAATGTCAGGTGAGTGATGAATCCTAACAATACATATGGTAAGAAAACTTAACTTTATCCAAAGAGACCTCATACTGGTTTTATAATTATTATTTATTAAAATGTGTTTCTTGTGATTCCTGAGGCTCTACTTTATGTACTTGGGGATGTGCACAGTTCCAGAATTTAACTTCATTAGAGTTGCCTCTTTATCCTTTGCAGTTAAGTGATTAGTGGTATATCATAGAAAAATTTCTAGAAATTGAAAAACCTCTACTTGGTATGAACTGAAGCTATGTGATAGCACATTAAGTCTAGAAAATACACAGGCCCTGAAATCTTAAAATTATGCCCTTATTTGAATACTTCACATTGATTTATTTTCCTCTAAAGAGAAAAGAAACAGAGGATTAGAAAGAAACAGTTATGGAAAATAATAGGATCTTGGGGGAAAGGACTATAATTTTTTGAAAAGAGAGAGTAATCTTTTCAGCCTCATAACATGATATATAAAGGCAAAGATTGTTTAAGAGATTCTTCAGTTTAATTATAATACATTAAAAGATTTCTTTGCAAGGGCTTAAATACCAAAATTGCATTCACTTTTTTCACCTTATCATTAATTTGGCTAGATAAAGTTAGGGGTTCATTTTAATTATTTTAAAATACTAAGACCCTTGCTCACCAATATACACATAACTTTTGAGAATGGTTAAATATTGTTGTCGACTCTAGCACATCATTTTAGTTAGCTGTTATCTTTCTAGTTTTGGAAACTGAGTCATTGGTGGGGTTAAAATACTAAAAATGTACTTCCCACACTGCATTTCATGCTGTTCCATTGTTTTTGAGCCATGAACTGTGTAGCCGTATCTTTATAAGAATCATAACTTGGCTAACAATGTACAATACTGCCAGGTAGAAGGAGAATAATAAGTATAATATGATTATAATAATAATAGAAATAACACTTGTATAATGCTTATTCTGTGCTAGGTGCTATCCTAAACACTTTACATATATTAACTAATTTAATCCATACAACAACTCCATGTTACAGATGAGAATGCTGAGGCATAAAGAAGTTCTTATATTCCTGTCATTACACAGATACTAAGTAGCAGTCAGGATTCCAATTTAGGCAATTTGCATCTAAAGCCCTGCCCAATATTGCCTCTTCTGTAAGGAAAAAAAGCCTCATAGTGTCAAGTTTGCTGACCTCTTATATGAATAATTTCACATTTATTGTTGAAAAGATACTACATTTTGAAAAACAAAAATATGTAATCTTATTAATTTAACATAATTTATTGTTTTTGCATATTGCTTTTAAGCCTTTTTTTTTCAGGTTTTTTCTAACATCTATGTTTTATAATTATTCTGTTCTTCTTAACAGTGCTTTATATACTGTAGGAATTCAGCAAATATTGACATACTGGTTGATCTGCAGACCATCAGAAATTTGCAGCTTTAAATAAATAAAGACAAGATAAAGACTTTTATTTTGTGTTAGGTTTTATAACTTGGTTTTAAAATGTCCATTTCTTCTAAGTAATAACTATGACTTTTTAAATTATATTAAAAACAAATCTGATATTTTACAGTATACCAAAATATAGATATTTATAATTATATTTTATATTTTCTTCACATTTGGTCTTATGGTTAGTTTTGATATTTTAACAACCATGCAACTATTATTCAAAGAGAGTGATTGGTTTTCAAAAATACTTTTATCCTGGCAACTGTCTTAAAATTACCATAAGACATTTCTGACATAAATGTATTAATATTTTTAGTATCTACTCATTCCAGACCCTGTTCTAGATGTTAGAGCGTTTGTTTAGGTGAAGGGATTATTTTAGAAAATATCTTCTAATTCAATTCAGTCAAATAATAAATATAAATCTATGTAATAACAATGTTCCTCAACTCTTTTTCACAGTTTGATATACAGTTATTAAATTACCTCACTGCATTCTTAGTTTTCCATTGTGCCATCCTTTACTCTGAACTTGATTTAGTTTGTTTTAATTTAGCTTGGTTTAATATGTCTTGATTTGGAACTCAGGTTGTGAAAATAGCACAGTCATTGAAAGGGTTTTTGAAGTGATATTTTTAAGGACATAATGAGGGAGATAATTTTCTTAAAGTTTCTCTGCTCATATCCCTATCTCCCTCTGGCCCTCTTCTGTGTTTTTATCTGTCTCTCTCTGACTTTGAGCCAGCATTTTGCTTTTGATCATTATTCATAAAAAAACAACACATTCTATTTCATTTATTTAATTTCTTTATGGCTTATCTTTAAAAATGTTTATTCCTAATTTCATAAGTTTGAGATTGTAATTTTTCTTTAGGAATTTTCATTATTAACTTGAAAAAATCCCAGATTTTATTTTTATAGTAAAATGATAATACATATTCTAATTAATTCACTTCTAGCTTATAATTGATTTTTTAAAATTCCTTTTCAAGGCCAGGAGACAAGCTTCTCAAGTCTTTACAGCCGAGAAGATTCCTTGAAGAATTAAGCATTTCAGTGTTTGAAAATTATGCTTTGTTTTCCCAATTCAGATATTGAACTCCTTAATAACAACTTATGAATCTATGAATTCTCTTAACTACTCAGCATATAATTTAATTTCTAAAATGTTTATGTTAATTACTCCTGTAACTTTATTGTTTAGTAATTATTTCAATAAAATATTTTGTTTGCATTGTGGGCTTTGTTTTTCTTTTCTTATCCACGTTTCAGAAACTTGTTTTATAGCCATAAGCTAGTATATATTGGGTCCTTGTGTTAGGTACTTTTAGTATTTTACATGTATTAATGAGTTCAAGCTTCAAAATAGTTTTGTGAGATAAGTACTATTATTAGCCTGATGAGGAAGCTAAAGTTCTGGGAGGTTAGTAATTTGTCCAAGAAAATGATTGTGACTCAGGTAGTGAACCTAGGCCGTTTCACTTCCAGGCTCTTACCATTATACTATTTGTCTCTTTTGTTAGAGAACATATATAATCAAATTGCTGGTTCACTGCTTAGAAATAATCTTAAGATTAAGATAGTTCTAAAAACATGGATTTGCTTTTATTAAATATTTACATTATACAACTATGATTTAGAGTCTTATGTTTAAGGTGTTCTGTGAAAAAGAATCTTTCAAATTCTTGTTGGATATGCCATGTATGGTTACAAGCAAGAATCTTACTCTGGCCAATGTAAACAGAAGGAAATTCATTACAAGATTATCAGAAGTTCACAGTCAATGGATAGCTAGAGAACTGGGGTGGAACCAGGGCAATTGTGGAGGCTAGAACATGGTTTAATTTATAGCAGGAGCAATACAGTTAGGAGCCATGGTAGAATGTCTCGGCTCAACATTCAGATTCCAAAGAGGGCACATCTGATTGGCATGGGACTATCTAATGGGACAGAGGTAGTTCCTCAAAAGGAAATCAGGGTAGATGAGGACAAGGATATTAAACAACAAAAAAGAAAAGCAAGTGTCTATTACATCATGAAAAAAATGAACAAGAACCTACTTGAATTAAGTTTTATGAATTTTAGGTACTCCAACAAAGGCCGAAAGTTGCATTTCAAGGATGAAATAGTATTGCCAACTGGAGAGTTGTGGAAACCCTTCTAATATTCTGTCTGTCGGACTAGTAACCAGTTTTCTATTTTGTAATCCCCATGCAGTTATACTCTTCATGCGGTCAATATCTCTTACCTAGATAACATGATAACCTCCTAACTAGTCTCCCTGTCTCAAGTGCTGATTCTGTTGTCATCCTTCCACACTGAAGCCAAAACGTTCTAAAACACAAATATGTGTGACTTTCTAGTTTGTTTTTTTTTTTTTTCATTATGGGTAAAATCCAGACTTCTATACAATCTGGCTTCTGCTTTACCTCGCCAGGCTCACTCTTCAGAGGAAGTTTCACTCTTTCCAGACAAAAATCTTTTGCCGAAATGTAGCTAGTGCTGCTTAGAGCCTTTCGCCTCTAGCTTCCTGATCTGTTCAAGTCTGCATTAAGCACACCTACCATGTGCTTGATAACAATGTTACTCAAAGTGTAGACTGGTGATCTGCAAACAGTCTGTGAGAAGGTAAGTGCAGAAATTGAGAACTGCTGTGTCATTTTATTTTACAAAAATAACAGCAATGGATTGGAATTTTTTTTTAATTGGTTCTTTACCACAGAATTACCACTGTTCTGTGGTACCCTGTAATGTTTGTATCACAATACTTGCTAAATTGCAATCTGTTCTAATTTTCTATTTATCTCTTTATATTCCTTTTTTGAATGAAAGTTCTGATTGCAGGAGCAGTGCCCAGTTTTTATTCATAGCTGCATGTTTGGTACATATAGGACTTAAAAATACTTTTTTTTTAAAAGGAAGGAAAATAATGTTTTAGGGAAACGGTGGTAGAAAATATAATCTGAAGTCTCTATATCCCAACTAACCATATCTGTGCAAATTATTTTTCCTCAATCCCCAATCAGTTCACATCAATTTCTGTAGGATGAAGGATTCAGATTGAGAGAGTTGAGTAACAAAAGGGTTAAAAATTTTTTCCTACAGTTTCTGAGCAGGTGACGGAATTCTGAACACTTTCTGGGTGAAAAATGAATACACATACACAGTACTTCCACACAGGATCACAAACCCAATCATAGGCAATTACACAGGCTTAAGAACACACGCTCTGGTTCAGTTCTTACAAAGGTTAAGAATATCTAGTTCAGTGGTTGTCAGGTTTTTTTTACTTTGTGCATTTTCTTCTTTTTTTTGGTCTTCATACCCCTTGACACTTTTGAAAAAGTATAAAGGTTTCCAAGAAGCTTCTGTGGGTTATATCTTCCAATGTTTGCCATATTAGAACTTAAACCTGAGATCTTTTTAAAACAAGAATACACAAGCACATTAGCCATGACCATTAGAGCAGTGATGTGATTACATGTCATTTAGCCTCTAGAAAATCCATCGAGCGTCTTTCTATAAACATAAATAGTTATACATATGAAATTCCAAGTTATGTATTTTTAAGGAATGACATTTTGCAGATGAGTGATTTCCTGTATAGGTGTGTATAAACACATACACATACATATAAAATCAGTCCCACATAAGGAGGTGTGCATCAGTGCCACGTAAGACCAGGCTGATTTTCTTAGTCATCTTCTTCATCTTCATCTTCCTCAGTTTCTTCATTCTCAGCTGCAAGCAGCACTGCTTCTTGTGCAGCCCTGAAAGCCTGCTCCTCTTCCACACTAGGGTCATCCATTTCTGTAATTTCTGGTCCACTGGGGTATTCTTGATAAACTGGTGGTGGAACTGGGGGTGTATAATTGTCTGGACTGTACTTATGACCCCAGCCTATGTAGAGATTTTCAAACTTTCTATAAAAAAAACAAAAAAAATCCCCAAAAAAAGTGAACCCTCCCGGAAAAAAAGGCCTAAAAAAACAACAACCCAATAAAAAAAAAAACATTTAAAATGCTGAATGTAAAATATTTCTCAATGTTTCTTCTACCTCAGAATTATTTTGATCCGAACCACTTAAGCTGATTAAGAAAACCATGGGGCCAGACACTGTCAAAAGGTACCCTACAACTAGACCACAAGTAGAGGCCTTTTTTCATTCGGTTATTTTTAGGAAAACAAAAGTTACTATCTTTCATAAAGTTAGATTTTAAAAAGTTGCTAACCCAGAAAATTGCTGGGTGTGGAGTTGGGCTTATGGTTTAAAACCTATGTGTTATTTTTCAGGCATGACCATAGGCAACTTCAAAGACTGTACCTGGCAGTCTCACCGAGGGAGAGATGCCCTTCCCCACCAGACTTGGTGAACCGCCAACGCATTGCTGTCTCTAAGGGAAATTGCTATCAAGGACGCTGGCCCCTCTGGCCGTGCTCTTCATATAGTTGTATTCCTAGCCCAGGTGCCCTCATTTCTAGGTCTCTTTAGGAGAGGCCTTCCGGCACTTATTTTCCCCACTCTCTGCACTCAGTACTTTTCCATTTCTAGCCCTCACACCCTCCTCCTAGCCTCCAGTTCCAGAAAACTGGAGAAGCCTTTTGTCTGGGGACTCCCTTGTCAGCGAGATGACCCCCACAACCTCCATATCTATGATATCCGCATCTGTGCTGACCCACCCAACCCTCCACTGGTGGGCCATTCCATGGGGGAAAATGAGATGGGGAAGTCAACGCTTTCTCTTTCTTATACTATCACAGCAAATGATTAAAGACTTAACTCTCATTTTTGGCTTGTTCCTTTAATGGTTACTCTGACACCTGGCAACTTGGTTCTCTCTCCAGCTCAGCTGACCTTCTGACACTGGATTATTTAGGGAAGAAATGTAAGCATAAAAACCATAAATGGAAGTGTATGTTATAAGTGAGGGATAAAAGGATTTTTAGTATCCTCTTTAGGTCTTAATTCCTTTGAAAGTGATAGCCTAAATGAAGCAAATTTTTAATTATCTTTTATAAAGATGTCCAACAAAAATGATCTGAGATTTAAACTAAACATTGCTTAGAATTGCCTCCATTAATGTATTAGATGAATGACTAAGTCAATTACCCAAATAATCACAGATGAAAAATTATATCTTATTTCGATTAATTGGATAATTAAGATGAAGGAGAAGTCTGAATTATTCTAATGTCCTGAATTTGATACTTTATAATACAAATGTTATTTTAATAACTCTTATGGCACATACCTAATATGCCAAAGATGAGTTAAAACAATAGCAGCTTAACATTCCAGTGATGATTTATAATTTCCAGAGCTTAAATAGTCACAATGATGGCTTTGTAGGTGGTCAGATACTTACTTGCCATTGGAAAAGGCATATGCTCCAGGCCAACGGTTGGATCGAAGGACTGCAATAGCATATTGTGGAACAAGATTTGAGGATAATCGTGTTGTCCAAGGGGGTATATTCTGAATTTCTGCAACCCAAAGAGAAATTCAAAATCTCAACTCCTAAATAGACAAGAATCTACCGTGCAATAGAGAAGATATTTTTATATTAATAAATCTTCACGCACAGTTGCACACATTTGATATAGAAAGAAAATTAAAATATTAGAAGCTAAATCAAGGATATTTGATGAATGCTTTGGAACAATGAAATTTGAAATATATATCTCCATTTTTGCAACAGAAACAAGATGTTTTATTAAGGAAGAGGAGGCTTATGTAGTAAAGGGAGTAATATTTGATGACCAAATGAAAGGTCAAATCATTATTATTAAAAAGATAAAGAGTTATAAGCATATATACTCCAAAACTGAAAGGGAAGAAACAAGAATATAGGGACAAAAGTAGATTTTTTAGAAAGTATCATGTATGGCATTTTAATATAACTATGCCATTTGTTTATGGTCTGCAGAATGCAAGACAAGAATGATACACAAGACAACTGTCAGCATTTCCAGTGAGAGGCAGCCAACTTAGGTTTCTCATTTGCATCACTCCTTCAACTGCGTCAGAGAATATTGGCGTGCCAACTACATTCTTTACTCCCCACCATCCCAGAACACACAAAGGGGGTGGGGATGAAACCTTGGCTCCTGTCCACTTTTCAGAGGTTTACAACTCTCATGTATTTATTATATAATGTATATAGTATATGATATAGTTTGTGTGTTTATATGTGATAATAGCTATGTAAAATAACCTAAATCTTCAGAGATTGGTGTCAAAAGAGGAGGCCCCACTTCCTGTTCTGTGAATTCAGGTTCTTCTCCTTTTTCTTCCTCTTTTTCTTCATCTTCTTCCTCTTCTTCCTCTTCATTTTTTTGTATAGGGTTTAACCAATTACAGCGACCCTAGGAATGAATGTTGCAAGATTTAGTAGCCTAATGAGGACCTTAAAATCTCAAAATATTCATTTGTATTGAAGCAATTATCAGGAGGAGGGTTCACTGCGTATTTCATCAATTATTCATTTGTTCATTTAACATACATTATTTTCCAAGTGCTATATTGATCTAGGTTTCTTCAAGGAAAAGATTGTATTATTTATTTCAAAAATTTACCAACTTCTTGAAGTTACAGAACTTGAGGGTTCAGTTATATTTTAAAATTAGCAGGAAACTTAGTGAAAAAGGTAATAATGCATTTTTCTGGTTTGTAATAAATAATTTATATGAAAGAGGTAAAGCTATGATGATAATGATTAACAATAAAATTGTAAATGTGGTAATAAGGTTACGTATGGAGGTTTGGGGTTTATATTAATAATTTCTGATTTAATTAACCCTTATTTAGAGATAATTAAGATTATATCTTATCTAGATAAAAGTATGATGAAGATGTTATACCCATAGGTGAGACAGTATAGCAGAGGGGTTAAGAGGATGGACTCTGGGTCCATTCTGCACAGCCTCACATCTGATTCTGCTACTTATTAGCTATATTCCCCTTGTCATATTTCCTAAGCTCTCTGTCTCAATTTTCTCATTTGTAAAATAAGGATAATAATATTAACTCTTTCACAGGGTTGTTGTGAGGATTAAATTGTATAAATATATATATGCTATTAACAGCACCTGGCACAATAGGTGCTATATATAGCTGCTATATATAGCTGCTATATATCACTGTTTACTTCATTTTGTTTTTGTTATACTCCTTTATTATTCTTGGCATAAAATTGCCATGTGTTATAGAGATAGAAAAAAAGAACTGTTTCCAAAATTGATGTACTCATATGTATTTAATATATAAAAAATCGAGTAATTTCAGAACACATCAATCTAAATCCATACATCATCTGTAAAATACTCCACATAAGTATTTGCTCTATTTCCATTTGAAAATATAAAAAAAAATTTGAAGATCCCTGGGGCCCTGGCAATTACATAGTACTCTGTGTTTTGTTTTGTTTAGTTTTTGAGACAGGGTCTCCCTCTGTCACCGAGGCTAGAGTGCAGTGGTGTCATCATAGCTCACTGAAACCTCACACTCCTGGGCTCAAGTGATCCTCTTGCCTCAGCCTCCCAAGTAGCTGGGACTACATGCACGCACCACCACACCTGGCTAATTTTTCTACTTTTTGTAGACACAGGGCTTGGCTATTTTGCCCAGGCTGTTTTCGAACTCCTGGCCTCAAGTGATCCTCCTGCTTCAGCCTCCCAAAGTGAAAGGATTACAGTGAGCCACCATGCCCAGCCGTTACCCATCTTTTCAATGATCTTTCTCTATCTAGTGTCTGAAGGCCTTCATTTTGCATATCTTTATGCAAGGTAGGGAAAATTTAATAAATATTTGCTAATTAGCTTATAGATTGAGAATCACAAAACCCATACCTGAGGGAGAATATGCTGTACATGATGAACCCAATTGGATAAGGATTCAACTAGGTCAATCACTTGGATGCCTTCAAAATCTGTGTTTTCCTCAAAGCTATCTCGGCCACCTTCTACCTCTTCCTCCTCCTCTCCTTCCTCTTCACCGAACTGATAGAATCCTAGAGGACTGACGTGGGTTCCTGCTGAAATTCGGGCAATTTGTGCTCGTAAGTAATTGCTCTCATTTCCTGGGAATGGTGGGTAGCTCATGATGGGAGCATCCAATTGCCCAGTGAAAAATTTCTTGATTTTTCTTGCAATAACAATTTGTGCAGGTGTAACTGATGGTAACTTCACCCATGATCTTCCTGGTTCATTGCAAACAAAATAGACATATTTGTTGGCACCTGTCCTACTTTCTTCTTTTGGTATAGCCTGTGGGGCCTTGTAAAAGGACTTTGGTAGTTCATCTTCCTCATCTTCATCAGCTTCACTTTCTCCATTGTCCCTCTCCTCAGCTACATCTTCCTCTTCAACCTCCTCTTCATCTTCCCCCTCACGAAATTCCACTTCAGCTACAATATAATTCATTTCCAGACCCAAGATCTTGCCCCAGAAGCGGCATCTTTGGATTGGATGGGTGTCAGTAAGCTGCTTGAGGGCAAGAAATATGCGGTAAGTCTCATCTGTGCCCAAACCAATTCCAGCTTGTTCAAAATAAAAAGCAGACTCCATTACATTTGGAAGAGAGTTTTCTGCCTGGGAAAACAAATGCTGTGGTTAAAACTTTATCAATAAGGCGAATGCTTGTTTCCCTTTACTCTTTTACACATCTTGATATTAGCTCTACTTTTCCCTCTCCACCACTTCTTTGACATTTCTTTCAAGAGTTTGATCAGGCGGGGAGCGGGGATAAGGGCAACATACATAATCTAAACATCTGTACCCCCATAATATGCTGAAATAAAAAAAAAGAGTTTGATCAAACTATGATAATTTCTGAATTTCAATTCTTCTGTCATTACCTATAAATGTAGCTTCTACCGTTGTATCTTATACTCATTAATATAATAGCCACCTGGTTCTATGTGTGTATCTTAGGCAGAGAGATTTAATAACTACTATTAACAATAACAGTTCAACATCCCTGTTTTATGAAAAATGTTTAAGCAGCTCTCTTACTCTCCTAAAATGAGATATAGTATAACTTACGTACACACATATGTAGAAAAAATATGGTTTTATATATGTTTACATTACCATATTTTAAAAAATATTAAATACATGGTTTTATATACATAGGGCAAATAAAAATCAATAAGGCATCCTACATATAGAGCAACATATAGGATAAAGGAAATGTATAATAAATGCTTAGCATGACTACACTTGAAGACATAACACAGATACTTGCCTCTACTTATAATAAATAATTTAAAATAATGAAGAGAAAAATAATTCCATAAAAGAAATATGGGAAAATAAATAAGCAGAGTCTCAAGGAGACTGTAGAGGAATATTTGTGAAAAGGTAGGAAAGAACCTTAACTGAGGTTAGGATAATTTGCAAGACAAAGTCATGACCTTCAAGATGAAGAAATTGACAGCACTTTGCTATTCTTACAAATGATCTTATTTATAACTGTAGTGTCAAAATAAATATAATGACATCTTTCAATTCTCATCTCATTGATTTAGATTTCTAAAACTTTTTCCTTGACATTTGTTGCACCACTCACTCTTGATCTTATTCGGCCCTCTAGCACTATTTCTTTTTAGTCTCTTTAATTATTGGTTCCTTTTTCCTTAATTGCGCTGTAAATAATGGTGTCCTTAAAATTTTCTTCTTAGTCATCTCATCACTCAATACTGTACACTTGGAAGATTTCTTCCACTCCACGGCAAGTAACATATGGCGGTTTAAAATTTCTCTCTCGAACGCTGACTTTTCTCCCATGATTCATACCTGTAAGTCTTGCCACCTAGGAGAAATTTTAATCTGAGTATTCTACAGATAGCTCAAGTTAATATTTAATTCATATTTCAAAGTTTTCTCTTTTTTCTATATCCTCTTTCTTCACTGATAACATCACTATTCCCTCAGTTTCTCACACCAATAAGTTCAGTCATCCTCGCTTCCTCTGACTTCTTTGACCTTTAATATTTAAATAGAGTCCTATTGATTTGAGCACATAAAAATTTGTTGGCATTATCCTCTCCTCTTATACCCATTTCTGTCACAAGAGTCACTATCCTTGCTACTTGTGTTATAACAAAAGGCTTCTAAATGCTCTCCTCCTTACCCCTATTTTACCTTTCTTTTTTTCGTTCACCTTCACATTACTACCTTCACATTACTACCAGAGTTATCCTTCTAAACCAAAAGTCAGATCATGTTATTCTCTATTAATATCCTCTCATTGGAAAGCAATATGGAGATACCTCAAAGAGATACAAGTAGATCTAACATTTGATCCAGCAATCCCATTACTGGGCATCTACTCAAAAGAACAAAAGACATTCTATAAAAAAGACATCTGCACTCAAATGTTTATAGCAGCACAATTCACAATTGCAAAGATGTGGAAACAACTCAAGTGCCCATCGATACATGAGTGAATTAATAAAATGTGGTATATGTTTACCATGGAGTACTACTCAGCTACAAGAAACAATGGTGATTTAGCACCTCTTCTATTTTCCTGGATAGAGCTGGAACCCATTCTACTAAGTGAAGTATCCCAAGAATGGAAAAACAGGCACCACACGTACTCACCATCAAATTGGTTTCACTGATCAACGCCTAAGTGCACATAAGGAATAAAATTCACTGGGCGTCGGGCAGATGGCGGGGGGAGAAGATGGGTATATACACACATAATGAGTGCGATGAGCACCGTCTGGGCGATGGACATGCTTGAAGCTCTGACTAGGGATGGGGGGGCAAGGGCAATATACGTAACCTAAACATTTGTACCCCCATAATATGCTGAAATAAAAAAAAATTCCTCTCATTGTACAAAAGAAAGAAATTTCTTATCAATGTACAAAGAGCAGTCTGGCTTTAAGCACCTCGTTTGCTTCATATCCATTCTTACTCTCTCAAATTCGTACTCATCTTTTCCAAACATGAAATAATCTTTCCTTCTTTTTATTGTTCTTTTTTTTCTCAAAATTTTATTCCTTATAGTCTTCACCTGGTGAACTCTGACTTAACCTCCATGACCCAAAAGAAATACTACCTCCAGTACAAAGCCTTGCCCAAGTCCCAATAGCAGAATTAGTTGTTCCATTCTGTCTTGTAGCCTGCTGTCAAAACAATATAGTAACAATTGCTACCATTGATTAAGTTCCTAGTATAAGCTGGATCCATTATATATATCACCTCTACCTGCCAGGTTGTTTCCATATGATTATCCCTGAAGCTTAGAAAGTTTAGTCATTTGCTCAAAGTAACACAAATAGTATGTGATTGAATGAGGGTTCTAACTCAGACCTGGCTAACTCCAAACCCCATGATTTTTTCTATCATATGAGGCTACGACCACAGAAACAGCTCAATCTGGTTCAACTTTGTATAATAAATAGGGAGTTATTTTTCAGTTGCCATGGACCCCAAGGTTACATAACCTGAGCATCTCCAGATGAACCAGCAGTGCAGTGCTAGGCAGAACCTAACTGCTAGGACCAAGGAACAAGGATCTAATTAAGAAGCAGACACCTCATAGCATGATACATGATCCAATCAGATCAACCCTGGCATCACCTCATTGCAAGATCCAATCGAATCATGCCTCAGTACTCTCTGCCTATGAAACCTGCCCCAGCCCCCAGCTTGGGGAAACAGATTTGAGCCCAGCTCCTGTTTCCTTGCTCAGCAGCTTTGCAATACACTTTTCTTTCTACAAAGTTTAGAAAGCAAAGTTCTTTCTGCTTCAGTGTTTGGCTTTCCCACTGGCAAATGCACCCAATTTAGCTTGGTAACAAGGCTATCTATTTATTGTACTAATCGAATGGCTTTCCAATCTTTTTGCCTCTTTCACTGAACTGTAAACAAATTAAAGTCAGACAAGTTTTTTCACACGTATGTATCAGTGCCTGGTGTGCAGCAGGTAGTCACAATATTTGCGAATGAGTGGGTGAATGAATAAATGAATGCTGAAGGCTAAGCATAGGAATTCTGGTGTAGTCAAAGACAGGAATGAAATCATGAATACTCTAAACATGTAAGTCTGGGACAGAGTTGGTCACGTGGCTCGTACTTCAATGCTTCAGAGATCTGCCTCTCTTCTTGTTCCTGCATCTTTACACTCTCTGAGGTGGAGCTTTTAATCTTTAACTTATGACTCAGCTGTCCCAGGTTCTAAAAACCAATCCTACCCTTTATGAGGAAAATTTATGGGATCTGGTTAAGGGGCTCAGGTTCCAGGATCAAAACACCTTGTGTTCTCATCCCATATCCTAGTTTTAGGATGCAGGTCCCTACCATGTAATCTTGTGCCTATAGATAACACAATGCCTTATTCTTACACTGGAATCTGATCTTTCTTTGGTTAAGTCTTCCATGAGAATATCCATTTGCCTGATCTCCACGTGCTGTTTGCTTCCAGACTCATCATCACTGTATACTGCTACATAACCAAATGCCACCTTGTCGAAGCTGTTTGATGTCAACTTCTTGACATATATCACCTATTACTTCTGTCTGAGTACTATGGATCTCACTGTGTCAAGTTGGGTCTCCTACCACAGGCTACTGAGCCCTAGAGCGTACACCTCCCGTCTAAGTCTCTCTCTTACCTTTTCCCTGATGGAGTCCTTTTTTGAAGGACTCCATACCTTACTCCGAACATCAGATTTGCAAGTACATAGATATATTTTAAATAGTCTAGTGGTAACAGAATGTGGAAGCTCAGCAAACATGTATAAAGGCATTTAGAAAATAAAATGTTGGATACTATTTTGAAATATTTGAACTAAAATTTCGGTGATGTACCAGATTTTATTCTTTAATTATAGCTTTGCTCTCCTCTGTCACCAACTTTTTCTCTAAATATTTTCAACAACTTATCTATGAAGATTAAAAGAAGTATTTTATGCATCTCCTCTTGTATTATGTCCCATTGACATAATATGCATAATATCAAACCATAATACGAGAAGCTTGCCTTAGAAGAGAATGCAAATGCTATCAGAAATACTTCTAAATTTTCTAGTAAGTTAAAGGGGAAAATATACAATTTGATTTAAAACCTAATTTTTAACTATCTGAAATGCATTCATTATTCAACAAGTATTTAACAAGAAACAGCTATACACACAGATCTGTATTAGGCACCTTAAAGAATATAAAATATGAAGAAGCCATTTTCCCTGATATCAAGAAACTTAGCCCACAAATGTATAAGAAACAGCTAAGGCCTGTAAAATACTAAAATGCAATGTGACAAAATAAGAAACCCATAAACAAGGAAATAGGTGGTGTGAAATGAAGTTGATTGGAGAAAGGTGGAAGAGATTTAAAAAAAATAAGATGCATATTCTACTTAGGAAGCTATAAAGGACAGTTGGTATAAACTTAAAGCCACAACTCATGCATCCCAAATAAAAACTTAAGATTTAATTATTAAAATTTATAGTAGTAACTTACTATTTCATCTTCCAGTTCTTGGTCAACTCCTTCCAAATGTCCCTGAAGAAAAAGAGCCTTTTGCTTCTCTGCTATTTCATAGGTTGGAAGCATCTCCTTCTCATTTTGGAGTGTATCTAATTTTTTACTAAAATGTGCCATCTTCACATCTTGACTAATATTTTCAATGATGTCAACAGCATTTTCAGGACGCTCATCGAGTATCTTAGTCAGCATACTAGAAAGATGATCATATCTACTCAAACAGAGAAAATTCCAGACAATATACATGTCAAGAGCATTTGAAGAAGAATTTCATGCAGACTCAACTAGTTGGTTTTTAGGAAACTGCACTATCTTGATGCCTTCAGAGATTTTCGGTGGAGAAACACTTAAGGTAATTTCTACTGTGCCCAAAATAACCTATCCTAGAATTTTCCTTTGGAAATGCCTCCAATAGGATATGAATGTTTAAGTTTTTTTTAATTTTTAAATTATTTTTTAATGTCAGATGGGTAATGTGCCAATATTGTAACAAGGTTCAAGGGAGGCACATCTCACACGTGCAAGTGAACACCCAATCATCACACAAAAGGATCAGGATGATTAAGTTATTAAAGAAAAAGATATTACAATAAGATACATATTCCACATCAGGTACCTTTTCACATTTTATTTCTGAAATTAAAACCTCTTGATTATACAGTTAAAAGTGATTAACATTATCTTTTACTCTTTTACCTAACTTCTTTTTATTCCCCTTCCCCTACTCTCACCAAATCCAATTTAATTTCTCATCCTATTTACTCTATCTTTAAGATCTGTTCTCTTCCTTTGATTCCATTTTTTAAAAGCCAATTATCTACTTCAGTGTCTTTTAGACCTACAGGGAATGCATTTCATATTGCAACCTCCAGCCACACACAACTAAAAGAAAGGTGTCATTAAATGTTACATTTATTAAAATGAAATGCACTCTAATATTTTGTTCTGTTCAGTTGAAAACACTGCCCTAGCTTTTTATTTCACAGCTGAATTAGTGAAATTGCATCTACCCTCCCATTAATTCATTACATTCTATACACGTGCTAGTGCGTGCTTTTTCAAATACCAGATTCACAACGTGGATTTACCATTTAAGAGGCCAAAATGTCTGTCAAAGTGCTCTCATGTCATGTTAAAATTCTCTTGTCTTGAAAAGAAACTCCTCTGTTTAATGTGGAAACTTGGATAAATTGCCTCTTTGGTGGACATGCATTGTATTTCTTCAACTTTGTTTCTAATTATTAATTCAATTAGACTTTCCGTCTCAGCAAGGCAAATCTAATAAAAATAACTTGCATACATTTGCTAAGTCCTACCAAGGAGCCTTTACTTACTATGTCCCATATATATCATTTCTCTCCAAAAATAATTTAAAACTCCCTTAATCCTCATGGACTTAGCACTTAAGTCTTTCCCTAACCGTTCTTCCTCAGTTTAGAGTAGCCCTTTCTGAAAACACTAATATGCTGCTATGAAATTTTATACATTATGTATTTCCTATTCAGCAACTGCCTTAGGTTCGACAGTGGCCGAGATTAGCGTATTGTTTTTTATATGTCTCCTCTCTTATTATAGTGAAACAAAACAAATAGATGTTTAATAATAACCTACTTTCTATTGATCTGAGCTATTTTTTTTCTTTAATGTCTGTATTTATCTAACGAACCTTAGGAAAGTCAAAGAAAAATATGTAGATTATATGGGCAACCAATGTAAAGGGCAGTTAAGAATATTATATGGTATTTGAAGAATATATCATTCTTTCCTCAATATTACTATTTTTATAAATGAACAGGAATGTTTTGGCTAGGAGTTTCTTTAAAACTTCATCAGACTTCCTTACTATTCATTTAGTCTTGAAGCTCATGGAGAAGCCTCAAGACTAAAAATACTGTTGCTTACCAGGCAATAGTTGGGTTTGTCACTAGAGTGTTTGATTTGCTTCAATAGGGGCTGTGTATGATATAACATCAAAACGGGGACTCTAAATCCAAATTTTCATTTATTTTTCAGGTTTCAATATAATGTCTATATGTGCTTTATTCCTTGTTCTTCAGTCCATATATTATATAAATGTTCTTTAAGTCCACACGTGAAAATGCCTTTGTGTAAAATTATGAAGTATGTTTATTAGATTTTGATTCATAATTACAGTTTTTTTAATTAGGAAGGATTAATAACTTGCTTTAAAGAATGGTAGAAAAGAAGGAAGCAATTTTCTTTTTTTTTTTTTTGGAAGCATTTCTTATCTGCGGGCTTTTTGCTCAATGAGGAAAAACCATTTTCAGATCCTATATTTTAGTCAAAGTTTGTTTTAAAAAATTTTTACTTTTTTAAATTGACAAACATTAATTGTACAAATATTAATTGTACATATTCATGAGGCTCACAGTAATGTTTTAATAATACAATGTATTAAAATGAGATCAGGATAATCAAAGATTGTTTTAATTACCACAAAAATAGCTTTTGTAGCTGTCAAATTAGATCTGCACATAAGAGACAGAGTTAAAATCATCTTTTAGTAAGCAGTTTTTAACTACAGGGCCTAAAGTATTTAGAGGATAACAGTGAATATTATGGAAGATATTTGTTTATTACCTCAGAGATAGCATTTGGAAATAAAGTTAAATTTATATATGTAAGTAATGTCAGTTATACAATAATTCAATAAAGGAAATTTTCTCATTTCATGTTTTTGTATTCAGTTTTAAACTGTCAGTTAACTAGCTGGGCATGGTGGCTCACATCTGTAATCCCAGCACTTTGGGAGGCTGAGGCAGGAGTATCAGTTGAGGCCAGGATTTTGAGACCAGCCTGGGCAACATAGTGAGACCCTGTCTCTACAAAAAATAAAAATATTAGCCAAGCCATGGTAGTATGTGCCTGTTGTCCCAGATACTTGAGAGGCTCAGGTAGGAGGATCGCTTGAGCCCAGGAATTCGAGGTTACAGTGAGCTATGATCCTATGATTGCACCACTGTTCTCTAGCCTGGGTGACAGACTGAGACTCTGTCTCTTAAAAAAAAATCTAAAAAATTGTTAGTAAACTCATATGTATTTATAATGCACTCTTTCCCAATTTTAACAAGTCTGTAAATTCATGCTTGTTATTTAATCCAGGACATTGTAACAAGAAGTGTATATCAGAAATTCAAGTGGAATCCACTACTGAGTAGCAACTCATATTCTTACAACTTAAGTAAATTGTAGTTTAAAATAACTTATATATAATATTTTAAATTTCCAATCTTGGGTTTAAGGAAAGGTTTCTCACGTAAATATTTTTTTATTCATTAGACCTTAAAATTATATCTCTTATATTTTAAAGCCTAATAATAGCTGCAAATATTTGCCACATTGTATATTCAGTAGACATTCATTTAATATTTACTGATTAATCAGGAAGCACTTTAGCAGGTTATGATGAGAACTTGCAATATTGTGATACATATATATTGGTTTTCACACACAGTTTTTGGCTCATAACTCCTATAGTCTTGTTATTTCTCCCCAAGGCAGGCCTTAGAAACTAAAAATATACTGTAATCTTCCCCCACCTCTGGCCGTAAAGAAATTTTCTGACATACCTTGTCTGGTTATAGGTCATAAGACCCCCATCTCAGAAGGAGTCCTATGCCATATCAGACAGGAAGGAATGCTGCACAGAGAGGCCAAGAAGAATCTGAATAGACAAGCCTTGCTGGGTTTCCCTACTCAGTCTATCAGTATGAGATCATACCCTTTTTGTCCACTCACATTTCTACATGGTTGTCAATCATGCCTATCCAATGAAGTCTCCATAAAAGGCCCAACAGGGCAGGATTCAGAGAGTATCTGGATAGCTGAACTTGGAGAGGTTCCTGGAGGATGGCTTGTCTGGGGAGGGCATGGAAACTCTATACCCCTTACCCCATACTTCGCCCTGTGCATCTTTTCATCTGAATCTTATGTAATATCCTTTATAGTAAGTTGGTGAATGTAAAAATCTCCCTTAGTTCTGTGAGCCACTCTAGCAAATTAATCAAAACCAAAGAGGGGGTTGTGGGAGTTCCAACTTGCAGCTGGTAGGTCAGAAGTTCTGCAGGCCCAGACTTGCAACTGGTATCTAAAGTGGGGGGTAGTTTTGTGGGACTAGGCCCTCAACCTGTGGGATCTGATGCTATCTCCAGGTAGACAGTATCAGAATTAAATTGGAGGATGCCCAGCTGGTGTCCACTGCAGAACTGACTGATTGCTTGTTGATGGGGAAACCCCCTCCCCTACATTTGGTCACAGAAGTCTTCTATGTTGATTATTGTTGAGAGAATAGAAAAAGCACTTTGAATTTGCATGAGTTTTTTTTCCAGAGAACTGAACTACATCCAGAAGGTGTGTACTGTAGTCTCTGTGCTGCCATTCATTCATTCACTCTTATCCAATTAATAGTTGATAGGATTGTGCTAGGCACAAGTACATAGTGGCATACAAAACTCACATAGTCCTGGGGCTCTGGGGCTTGTAATCTAGTGGTAGAGTCAGACATTAAAATATAAGTCTATAAATATAAATATATATATATATAATTAAAAATGGCTTGTGCTATGAAGGAAAAGAATAGACTGTTATAATAGTGTTCTATGGAAGCTGAGTTCTGGAGAATGAGGAGCCAGCCAGGCAAAGTTACTGAGGGAAGAAGTCTGCTAGGCAGAGGGAGCAGCGTGGGAACTGAAGCCATGGGCTGGATGGATGGAGCACAGTGGTGGAGGGAGAGGTAAGAGTCAGGAAGTGCTGTGAGCCACTGCAATCCTGAGCAAATTTGGTTCTCCAGACTCAGTCTCCTCATTTAAAAGACAAGTAGGTTGTATTAGATGTTTTCTAAAATCCCTTGTAACCCTAAAATTCTGTTGACCCTATGATTATGTAACCCTGGAAGCAAGAATATCTAGGAATCTATACTCATCATGAGTTCTAAAATTAAAGATATAATGGGATGGCCAGAACATACCTGGGTCATTGGTCATCACATTTTAAGGGAGACCTGGATTAAATGACAAGTATTCTGGGTGGTCTTTATAGTGACCAATTCTCCCAGTTTGCCCAGGACTAAAGGGTTTCTTAGGATGCAGAACTTTCAATGCTCAAATCAGTACAGTGCCGGGCAAACTGGGATGCTTGGTCACCCAAGCACTGATCTGGGTGGGAACTCAAAACCAAGGCATGCAAACATTAGAATGCTTAAATTAGACATTGGCTCGCTAACACTGGTAGAAAATTATTTTTTATATGCATCCTGGAAAGATGTTTGGACTTTATGGTCCATGTGGTCTCATTCAAGCCCGAGACTCCGTAATTCCTAGGTTTTATTTCTGTGTGTGTTTCTAGGTTCTTTAAAGAAGCCAGAAGAAAAATAAAAATTAAAAAAAAAAAGAAGCTAGAAGAAACTCTGCCAGTGACTGTTTTGAGTCCTGTGATCCAAAGACTTAAATCGCTAACTCTCTTTTACCAATACAATCTTTTCAAACATAATTCTATTCACCCACAGAAACACATTCTCTGCTGGGCACGGTGGCTCATGCCTGTAATCCTACCACTTTGGGAGGCAGAGGCAAAAGGATCAGTTGACGCTGGGAGTTTGAGACCAGCCTGAGCAACAGCAAGACCCCGTCTCTACAAAAAATAGAAAAATTAGCCGGGTTTGGTGGCCCACACCTGTAATCCAGCTACCAGGGAGGCTGAGGCAGGAAGATTGCTTGAGCTCAGGAGCTTGAGGTTGCCATGAGCTATGACACCACTGCACTCTAGCCGGGGTGACAAAGTAAGACCCTGTCTCAACAAAACAAAACAAAACAAAACATCAAAGAAACACACTCTCACACAGAGATACACACCCTTCTGCTTTGACAAACTTTTCTCTCTCTCTCTCTCTCTTTTTTTTTTTCTCCAAGACTTACAAATTCAAGCCCGACTTGCAACTGGTCTTCAGCAGGTAAGCCTTGGCATTCTGAATGGCTGTCTCAAGCACACTGGGCACTGCTTCAGAGGCCCCAGGCATGGGCTGGTCTAGGTCATGCTCACTGTTTGAGTCTTCCTCCTGAAAAGTGTCAAATCTCAGCTCTTTTTGTTTAGAGTTGCTATAGCTCACATCCGTTGATCTACACAAATGAGATTTGGGCTGCTGAGACTGTTGAGAGGTGTTTGCCTCCGACTGGCCTGTGTGATGAGAAGTGGATTCTCTTTCGTCAGACGATTGTTCCAAAGGATCAGAGAGAAGCGTCCCAGCTTCCGGAGTCACACTAGCCGTCAGGTCTGACTGCAGTGGTGCGGCAAGATCCTGTCTGGCCAGAGCCAGGGGAGAAGGAGTGCGAGAGGGCTCCTGTGAAGGGAAAGGGGAAGATGATGCTCCTGGTCCTTTGGGGTCACCCAGAGACGAGATGACTTTAGACTGGGGGCTCCGAGGAGGGCTGCTTCTGGGCTGGGGTCCAGTTTCTGGTCCCTGCTCCGCCTCCAAGGGCCCAGAGGACTCTGGCTCAGGAGACTGGGGAGAAGCTGCTGTCTTTCCTTCCCATGGCGGCCCTGCTTTTCCCGGTTCTTGGTTTTCTTGTTCTTGCTTCAGGGAAGTCGAATCTTCCATGGAAGGAATCAAGAGAAAAAAAGTTCTGGATGAAGGGGGCGTGCAGATATGGAAGAAGGCAACGCAGGACAGTCGCTTTGCCGCCGTTTCCTAAGCGATTTCTGGGCCCTGGTTGCTCAGCAGGTTGCAGCGTCCTGTCTCCATAGCAACCCCGGGCGGGATTCCTCTAAGAACAACAATGCACACCCGTTGCCGGGATTCGAGGGAGGAGACTAAAAAAGATGAAAAATCCTAGATTTGTGATTTGGTGGAGCCTCTGCCTCTCTTTCTACTGTAGCCAATCCGACCTGGACTCCCCCAGTCTTGGTTGGAAACCCGAGAGCTCTTCGTTCTGAGTCCAGAGCACAAAATGGGAGGAATGGCGACCCCGCGCGGAAGAGTGGGAGATTTTTAAGGGTCTGAGAGTTTGATCCAAGTTGTGCTTTGCGGAGCGAGGCGTGCTTTACAGTGCACTTACAGAGGGAGGGGAAGAGAAAGAGAAAGAGAGAGAGAGAGAGAGAGAGAGAGAGAAGGAAAGACGTGAGAGAGGGAGAAACTTTGGGACTCTGGGAATCTTGGAGGTGCAGGTGACAGTGAGATCCCAGTGTACAGACCAGGAGAGCCCAAGTCTTAGAGTGATGTCTCATCTGTGCTAAGCAACCTACTCCGGAGACTTTTGAAGAATAAACAAAGAAGTCTTGAGTTTCGTTCTTCCCCCTTACATGAAATCTTTCTGGTAAGTAGGCAGAATATTACCTTCCATGAGAAGGCGATGTAGAAAATTTACCCTATATTATAAATAGACAGTTCATAAGTTACCTGGTTTTCTGATTACTGAAATTCAAATTAACACTAAACTACATTGGCATAATATAATTTTTATTTGATCATCTAAATGTGATTTCATAATCTTGCAATGATTTAAGTCAGGATTATGACTATTAATTTATACTATGTAATGTACACCATGAGGAAGGTATAGAGGAGTGGACCATATCTGGCCTTGACTATAATCCATAAATTAATTAAAGTCTTTAATATTAATTCGTTCTGTATTTCTCTCTCTTTTAAAATATACCAACTCTTAACTGATATTTGACACTTTACATTGAAATGACTGTCATTTAGCAAAATGTTTGTCATAAATTCTAAATTAATGAGAGAACATAATACTCCTTCACCTGGTTTGATAATTTCATAAAAGCTTTGGATATTTACCCTTTCCAAAATACACGTGTGTGCACACACACAAAATGTTGCATATAATTTCTGCTAGTACAGGACTCTTTAAAGTTAGACTCCTGGGATTTAAATAGAATGCTTGGGGTTCTAAAAACAAAACAAAAGGTTAAGATAAACTAGAAATATAAATTGGGTTTTTTTGGTAATTGGTAGAAGGGTTGAAAGAGTTAGCATTTTTCCTTCTTTTCTCCCTTGCAGCTGGCAAGCTATGATGGATGCTTTTTTTCTTGGAAAGACAAGACTGAGCAGGGTGGTAGGGATGAGAGAAAGCCAGGGTGAAGAGACAAATTTAACTTGCTTATCTCTCCACTTTGGGAAAGAAGAGCAATTGAAAGGAACAACCTAAGAAAATGCCTATTATTATTCCTGCTTCATTTTCAGCCAAAGCTTTATCTAGACTTTGACTGTAGTAATCTTAAAGTTGCTTCTTACTGCTATTAGGATAAAGACCAAAGTTCTTAGCCTACTTTCCTTCCCATGTTCAACTTAAGCCACTCTCCTTAATGCTGGTTTCATAAAATGGGTTGAGAAGTGTTTCCCCCTTCCCTATTTTGTGGAATACGCTGTGTAAAATTGGCATCGTTTCTTTAAGTGTTTAGTAAAATTTATAGTGAAACTGTATGGGTTTGGAGAGTTCTACTTCAAGAGGATTTTAACTACAAATTCAATTGTTTTAAATAGTTATGACTGTTCAGGTGATCTCTTTCATCTTGGATGTATTTTGGTAGTTTGTGATTTTAAAGGATTTTATGCATTTCATTTAAGTTGTTGAATTTATGTATGCTGGGTTCTTTGTAGTACTCCCTTCTTATCCTTTTAATATTTTTGGAGTCTATAGTGATATCCCCTCTTTCATTCTTGATTTTGATGATTTGTCTTCTCTTTTTTTGTCAGTCTCATTGGAGGCTTATAAATTCTATTGGATATTTATTATAAAAATTGGTTTTGAGTTTTATTTCTCTATTGTTTTTTGTTTTCAATTTCATTGATTTCTGTTCTTAATTGTTTCTTTCCTTCACCTAACTTTGTCTTTATTTTGCTCTTCTTTAGCTAGTATCTTGAGGTACACTTGGATTATTGATTTGAGGTCTCTTTTCTAATATAAACATTTAAGGTTTTATACGCTCCCTTTAAGCAGTCTTTCAGCTCTAACCCACAGATTTTGATGTCTTATTTCCTTTTCATTCAGTTCAATATATATTTTAAAATTTCCCTTGAGACTTTCTCATTGACCCATAAATTATTTTTAAGTGTGATGTTTAATTTCTAGGTGTTTATAAATTTTCTTACTATTTTTTCTGGGATTAATTTATATATAATTATGTAATTCCATTACTGTCAGAGAGTATACTTTGTATGATGCTATATCAAAGTTAAATTTCTGATTTTGGATTTATTTTATTTGGCATTTACACAACTTCTTAAAGCTGTATGCTTATGCTTCTCATCAAATTTTAGAACTTTTCAGCCATCCTGCACTCACTCATTCTTTGTTTTTGCTATTCCAATGAAACAAATGCTAGAAGTTTTGTCATAGTTCCACAGACCCTTGGGTTTCTAGTCTTTTTTTTTTTTTTTTTTTGTTTCAGCACCTTATAAAGCTCAATTAGATAATTTCTATTGATTTATCTTCAAGATCATTGGTTATTTCCTCTGTTGTTTCCATTCTGCTTTTGAGCCCATCTAGTTAGTTTTTAAGTGTTATTATTTTTTTCAGTTCTAAAATTTTCATTTTATTTTTATTTCTCCCCTTATTTCTTTGCTGAGATTTTCTACTTTTCCATTTGTTTCAAGGGTGTTTATATTTGCTTCTTGGAGTATGTTTTTTTTTCTTTTTAATTAACTTTTATTATGGAACATTTTAAGCATATACAAAAGTAGAGAAAATGAAACCTATGACCCAACTTTAATAATTAGAAATAATCATTGATCTTTTTTTCCTAATTAATCTGCCTTTTGCAAGTTGATTTTTCAGCAAAACTTCAGAGGGCCAGGGGGAATTCCCCTTAGCCTCTACATGGGTGATATGAGTAGATGACATGAAATTCAAAACGGGGTGTTTTTGTGGAGGAGGGTGGGCTCATTGTCTGAAAGAAGCAATAAAAAGGAAGGAAGGCAAAACCCCACTCATGAGAAAGAAAACAGCCACTATTTGAAAGAGTTACGAGGGAAGTGTTAACTTCATTGGGAAGAGACAAGTTTGTTACAACAAGATGATGAAGAACACCTTGCCAGAGGAGGTTGAAGTTATATAGTATTTGATTGATAACTGACCATGGATTTCAAAAGGTTTCAGGAGATGGGGAAGGTGCTTATCAAAAAAATGATCCATCATAAGCAAGGGGGCTTCATCCCAGTGTTGCAGAGATCGTTCAACATATGCAAATCTATATATGTAATTCAACACATAAATGGAAGTAAAAAAAGGACAATAAGATCCTCTCAATAGATGCAGAAAAAGCATTTGACAAAATTCAGCACCTTTTTATGATAAGAATGCTTACCAAAATAGGCATGGGATTTACCTCAAAATGATAAAAGCCACATATGACAATCCCCACAGCCAACATAGTACTTAATGGGGAAAAATTGAAAGCATTCCCACTTAGAACTGGAACCAGACAAGTTGCCGTCTATCACCGCTTCTATTCAACTTAGTGCTGGAAGTCTTAGCCAGAGCAATCAGACAAAAGAAGGAAATCAAGGGCATCCAGATGGGGACAGAAGAGGTCAAACTATCACTCTTTACTGACAATATGTTTTTATATCTAGAAAACCCCAAAGATTCTGCCATGAGACTACTGGAATTGATAAACAAATTCAGCAAAGTTCTAGCTTACAAAATCAATGTACAGAAATCAGTAGCATTTGTATCTGCCAAGAGCAGTCAAATTGAGAACCAAATCAAAGACTCAATACTCTTCATAATAACAACAAAGAAAATAAAATACCTAGGAGTATATTTAACCAAGGAGAAGAAAGACCTATATAGGGAGAACTACAAAACACTGAATAAGGGAAGAGCAGAGGACATAAACAGGTGGAAAACCAGACCATGCTCATGGGTCAACAGAAACAGTGTTGTTGAAATGTCTATAGTACCAAAGTGATCTACAGATTCATTGAAATCCCTATTAAAATACCAAAATCATTTTTTGAAGATCTATAAAAAATAATTCTACGCTTTGTACGGAAACATAGAAGACAGCATATAGCAAAAGCAAGCTTAAGCAATGAGAACAAATTGGGAGGCATGAATTTACTAGATTTCAAGCTATGCTGCAAGGCTATAATAACTAAAACAGCATGGTACTGGCAATAGAACAGAGACATAGATGAATGGAACAGAACTGAGAACCCAGATATAAAACCATCCTCATATAGCCATCTAATCTTTAACAAAGCACATAAAAACATACATTGGGGAAAAGAAACCTTTTTCAAAAAATAATTCTGGGAAAATTGGATAGCCACCTGTAAAAGACTGAAACAAGATCTGCACCTCTCACAAACATCAACTCACAGTGGATAACAGACATAAACCTAAGGTATGAAACTATAAGCATTCTGGAAGAAAATGTTGGAAAAACTCGTATAGACATTGGCATAGGCAAAGAATTTATGAAGAAGACCACAAAGGTACTCACAGCAACAACAAAAGAACAAAAATAAGTAAATGAAGCCTGAACAAAATAAAAAGCTTCTGCACAGCCAAGGAAACTATCCTGACAGCAAACAGAAAACCTATAGAATGGGAGAAAATATCCAACAGGATTCTACATGAGAGTTCATAACATTATTTCAGATATTTATTTGCCATGGTTTTGATGAAAGAAATCAAAGCAGAGCAATGTATACAGAGTGAACTTATGTACACACAATTCTGTTGGAACATAATAACATCCATTTTAAGCA